TCGTCGTCGTTGACGTTGTCGTCGTCGACGTCGTCGTCATTGTCGACGTCGTCGTCGTCGTGATCGTCGTCGTCGTCGTCCGCGAGGCAGACCAACAACTTCCCTGAGTTCACGGGCCGCGTCTGCCCGGCCCCCTGCGAGGCGGCCTGCACCCTCGGCATCATCGACGACCCGGCGCGGGGGGGCGGGCCGGGGAGCCCCCCTCAGTTCAAGGGCTATGATGCTTGAACCTCCTTTAGCCTTGACTGCAAGAAAAAAATACGAGCCCCAAGAAAGCACCGAAACTGGAGGGTTGTCACGTGCCGGGCCCTCGGATGCGATACTCGTTCGACACTGTTTCGCTATTTTTCTGGGTGATCGAGACTATTTATTTATGGGATGTGTTCCTTCAGCACGAGGGTAGCAACATGGTCCAAGGGGAGGATGTCGAGAGGGAGACCCCTCGACTGAGGCGCGCTCAACCAGGCCAGGCGCACCCCGAAAACACCGATAGAGAGCTTGATACCCAGGCATGGCGGCGTCCTGAATTTTTCAGGACGGCGACCCTGGAAGCCCCGACCTTAGTGGGCCGTGGAAACGACAGGGCCGTTTTTTCACCCTTTCCGTTTTGCCGTTTTTTTGCCGGTTCCAACGCCGTTTTTTTACCGGTTCCGTCGTCGTTTTTTGACCGTTTCCGACTCCGGTTCCAAACTCGGAGCGGTTTTTTGCCGTTTCGGGTCGCCCTTTTTTTGCCGTTTCCATTTTCAAGGGACATGTTTCTGGAAACGGGGCTTACCAAGGCCCCGACCCGTTCCCCGGGACCGCTTTTTCGTCCCGAGTCGTTCTTGGACGGTCCCGAGGCCCGGCGAGGGGCCCCCCGGGCCCGAAAGTGGCCACGAGCCTCCCGTCCTGACTCGTGTACGACGCGATCATGTCGGGGGTGGAGTCTCTTTGATTGAGGGGAGGAGGGGGAGGAGGAGGAGGGGGAGGAGGAGGCGGAGGAGGAGGGGAGGAGGAGAGAGAGGAGGAGAGAGAGGAGGAGAGGAGGAGGAGGCAGGCGGAGGAGAGGAGAGAGAGGTGGAGATGAGAAGAAGGAGGGGGGAGGAGCGGGGGGAGGAAGGTGGGAAGGGGAGGAGGAGGAGGAGGAGGAGGAGGAGGAGGAGGACCCTTCAGCCCCAAGGGGAGGGGCAGAAGGCCACGCCGGCCCCGACCGCCTGGCGCTCGCGGTCAGCGGCCCTAGGGCGGCTTTCGGCTCCTTCCCGTGTCTCGGGCCGGACGAAAGATCCGGAGGGAAGAAACATACAGACACAATTCATCATCGATTCCCCGGAAAAGATGGGGAAATACGGGAAGTGGGGGAGAAGATAAAAACCCAGAAAATGTTGGAAAATATAGGGAATCTTGTTCTTTGTGTGTACTTATGTTTGTGTGTCCCAGGGCCCCTTTAGAGAGGGGGGGATTGGGAAAGGGGGGTTTACGACATCTGCTGCATGCAGCTGGTTTCGGCCCCACCCAGGGGCTCATTCCTCGATACATAGCCGCCTCCGGCGCCGGGAGGCGCCGGGGAAATCAGCGACGTGAGCTGATTATCACCCCCCCCTTTGCTATCCCCCCTTTCGCCAGGCCCGGCTCTCGCGCCGCGTAACGATCACGCGTGGAGGCATTTTTTTGGTCGCTATGTTCTTTAAGTCGGGCATGTCCCTCTACAGGAGGAATGCCCTAAAATAATCAACAAAGATAATCTTGGGACGATGTTTTTGTATTACTATGTTTGACCAGTTCTGGATATTCGTTGGCTACTTTTTTTTCATTTGTCGTCCGAAATCTGCCGGCAGGTCAACAAACGACTCTGGATGAAAAGCCGGTTCATGGAGAAGGGGTCCAGATCTCCAGGGGTCGACGTCTTGCTGTGTCCCAGGAAACTTCTCGGAAGGCCAGGGGACCTCCGGGCCTTCTGAGCAGGCCCGCCCCTTCTCGCTTCCCTCCCAGGCTCGCCGCAGGACAGCGGTGCTTTCGGCCACACCGTAGGAGCGGCCTTGCTCCAGAGCGACCCTGAGTGCGGGCGCAGTGGGGCCCCCCCGGATGACTGAGCGCGATGCGACAGCAGCGCCTTGCGCACTTGGGCTTGGCCTCCCCGAAAGTCGCGCACCAAGGGTCCCTCTTGGCCTCCCAGACATGATCGCGTCGTGAAAAAATCAGGACGGGAGGTTTTGGCAATTTTCGACACTGGGGGGCCCTCGGGATCGTCAAAAAATGGCTCGGGACGAAAAACTGGTCCCGGGGAAAGGGTCGGGACTCCCAGGGACGCCGTCCTGAAAAAATCTGGACGTCGCATGTCTGGGCTAGGGTCACTCCTGCGCGTAGGCGACAGATGTCGCCGCGCCGTTTGTTCCGACGCGCGGCCTTGCCTCTTGGCGAGGGCGCCGCGGCCACCAGGGCAGACGCCGCGCAGGGCTTGCCGTGGTTTGAGGTTCCCCTGCGCTTGAGAACTTCGGATTCCTGGAAATAATTAAGTTGCCCAAAAGTTGTCCAAAAGTTGTCCTCAGCCCCCCCATCAAAGTTGTACTAAAAAGAGCTGATCGTAAACCTTCGGGGAGATAGTGCGTTAAACCCTCCTGCCCAAATTGTCCTCGGGAACAACTCCCCGCTGCATATCCCCACCTAAAAAGTGAACGTGATTCAATGTTTGCTTGCTAGGGTATGGTGGTGTCGATAGCACAGCGATAATTGTTTATTTTCCATTGCTGTTTTGGCCCAAACATGTTCTGTGGCGTCTCACGGGCCCTTGTCCGTGCGTATGGATGCAGAGTCTAATGGGAGCTGGTCTGATTTGATTGACCCAGTTTTTCCAGAATCGCCAGGGTCGATCACTGGCTGGTCCGACGCAATCGAGCTTGAGCGCCGGCCTGACAGCAGTTCTGACCTTGAGGATCAGCCCGATCAGCACGAGAGCGACGGCCTTCCAGAGCAGCCACGTCCAGAGCCAGACTCTCAGCTGGACTCGGCCCAACTGGCCGCGCTTCTGGCGCAGCCGCCGCCGCCGCAGAGGCGGAGGGGGCGCAGACCAGGCTGGGAGAAGCGGCTCGGTGACCAGCAGCTGGCGGTGGATCAGCGCCCAGTGGCACCAGTGCCAAGGGAACTGCGACGACCGCCAGTTGACGACGAACGAATGGCAGCCAGTGGAGTTCGACCCCAGTTGTGCTACGAAGTTGGAGAAGGTGCATTCTTACGATTGCGGCAGAATCGACAATTCAGCACGCCATGGCCTTTATCAAAATATCTTATGGATTGCATTGTGTCATCGCAGCAGCCAGGTGCACAGCTCGATGCAGACACTCTCACAGTCGGTGCGCACTTGTTGGGAGTTGACACAGTCAAATTAGCTTCATCCTCTGCCAGCGCTCAAAGCATGAATGTGTCAACGAAGGTATTGAAATCTCGCACGCATATCTTGGCAGCCTGCATTATCAACGGGCAAGCTTCCTTGCAATGGTCTGTGCAGGAGGCTGTGATGCGCAGCGTCCCTGCTCGAGATCGGCTCCTGTTTGTTGATATGTCCAGATACGACGAGACGCCGACGAGGGTCAAGACAGCTGGAGCATCGTCAATGGATGATTTGCTTCCGCAGAACATGGTAGGCAGGATGCAGATTGAAGGCCTGCGGCCAGAATCTTCGAGCATTCAGGCATGGACTCCAGTCTGCGTGCATCGACAGTTGGCCAATCTTCAACAATCTTCCCGTCTGAAGTTGGCATGGGCATGCTTCTTCGCATGGGTGGCCAATACTTGTATCTGGTGCTGCCGTCGGTCACGCACTTGCAAGTCTTGGAGAGGGGCACGGCAAAGTGTGTGCAGGAAGCTCTCGTTCGCCAATCGGCTGTCTCTCCGATAGCCAACACATTCGCCCGCAAATTGAGATCGGCATGTACTGATAAAGGCTCTTCTAACTTGGTGGTTGAATCATCGTACGTCTCCAGCCCAGAGCATCCAGATTGGCATCACGTGTGGAGTGCTTGCGACGTTCACGTCACGGCAACGGTCTTCAAGTTCGTATTCGCCCTGACGCAGACCGACATCACAGGCATGATTCGCCACAGTTTGAGTATCAACGTGGCTGGCCAGCTCAATTGTTTTCGAAAGGCGTTGCGACAGGAGATCAAGGCGAGAGGTGTTCATATTCGCCAAGGTGTACCGCCGTTGTCTGCACAGCGGTATCGCGAACGAATGTTGAACGTGTTCTGCTCTGGGCGGAGTCGTTTGTCAACCAGGTTACTCTTGGCCTTGCTGCCAAATGGGAGATGGGATTCAAGCGTCATCGAATTGTTTGTTGTCGATGGTTCAGCCATTACTCCAGCAATCGCGACCAAGATCATTACGAATGGTCTCATCACGGCGTTGGCAGGCACGTATTTCACGACGTACCCCCAGCATCGGTGGACAGGCGCTGACGTAGCCGTGGACCGCTGTGCGCTTCTTGAAGTGGTTCATGGCCTGGGCTCTCCCGTGTGCGAGCGATACCTGCAGATGTTCCATGGCAAGAAGAAGGGCGCTAACATAGCTGCTCACACCGATGATTTGTCAAGTGCCCCAGCTATCCTTGCTGGGCATGGCGATGCAGATGGTGCAGGTGGAGCGGATGGCGCTGCCGACGTGCATGTCCCTGTGGAGAGCGGAGTCAACTATTCGAAGGAAAAGTCAGCCGAGTTAAATTCGAAGAGCAGGGAGGCAGCTTCCAAGTGGTGGTCTTCAGACCCGCTCCCAAACATGATCATCATTCGTATGGTCATGGAGCCTCTGCGGGCCCTGCTGTCAGACATGCTTTCGCTGTCAGGGCAGAAGTTCAACGAGCAAATATGGGCTGCAGCTGATGATGCAATGTCTGGTCGGCCGATGGCCAGGAACTATAGAGTCTGCATCGCGGCGTCGAACCAGCTGGAGAACGAGTGCCTCGAGCGGGTCCGCATACTTCTTGAAGACGAAGAGTTGTGGGCCATCATGCGGCGCCGAGCGATCAGGGAGGACAAGCAGTGCCTCGGTTTCAGGATGCTCAGCAAGCTCGGTTGCGCCGTGACCCAGTTACTCATTGTGCCGCACGGGGAGTGCCAGTTGCAAGTTTTCGGTTTGCTTGAGAACCCGAGTCTCGGCGAAAGGCTTTTGGCCCAGCCTGCTCGCATGAGGGGTTCTTGGGCGAATGATTTTTTAGATGCGTACAAGGGCGACTTGCAGTCCGCTGAAGCTCAAGCTACCCT